AAGACACAGCACTGCAAAGGCAGAGGTGATTTCATGATTCATCATTTACTGATTATATTTCCACAATATTATTGATTATTAACATGCATATTTTGATTTCAGGATTGCATATATAGAAAGGCAAAAGGACATCATCAAAACAGTCCAAGAGAGAGATTCACAGCCATTTACTCTGGAACAGGACAATCCACTCATACTGGACCATGACATGTATCCCCTGAACTTACAGCATCGCCTGAACCAACCTGAACTGAGGATTGTAAGAAAAGCTCAAAAATTTGGTAAATTTGATCATCAACATTTTTCACTTCTACTTTACTAGCCATTAAATAAGCTGCCAGGATTTTACGCACTTATTGAAAACTTTGCTGCTCTTCACTTGAAGGATGACAACATGCCAAAATTGAGGTAATTTGCGTAAATGGAAAATCAAAAATGAATATTTTAATGCATTGATAATACTTGTACGTTTTTATTGCAGGACATTCATTAACAAGGTTTTACACAAACTATGCAATGCTGAAAGGAATACTTGGAAGGAAGCACTTGGGTTGAAGGAAAGAAGTATTGATGGCGCTGATTCAACACAACTTACTAATAATTTTGCCGCTAATTATGAAATTGCAAAAAGTTTGAAAGAATTGAAGAACGTGTTCATTGGTAACAGTAAGGAGCAAAGTGAATTAGAGAGTGACCTTGAAGAAGTATATGCAAAGATAGGAGATGATAAGGATAGGCATTGCAGCTAATTGTACGAAGGTATTTGAAGTATTTATTTCTGTATTTTTTTCTTTCAACGCTGAATTGATACAGGTGGTTTTGGAAAACAAAAACTGAGCAATAATGTGAATTGACTTCCTTTTCATTTAATTCAAAAGAAAATAAAAAAAGGACGGCATAATTCCTGGCAACTACTAAATACCGACGTTGCAAATAAAGAGCACTGCCAAACCACCACTGCCTGATAAAAGATTATAATCGGTATAATTAAGAAAACATCCGAATATGTATACGTGTAATGAAAGCAACCGTTTGTGTCCTTTACAGCTTATATTCCTACTGTACTGTAGTGTTCCAAACACACATTGGTTACATTGTTGGGGTCTAGTAAATGCATATACCGACGCATGTCGGTTAAGGTCACATTATAACTGACACTTCAAACCACCATTTGCCAACAAACTATTATAATGGCTATAATTAAAATGATAACATGTGAACATGTTTGCGTATGAATTGTACAAGCTTTTGTGCCATAATCACGATTAAACAGGTTTTTTGGTGTTCCATGCTAATGTCGGCGACATCATGGGGGTCTGGTAAATGCATGCCAACGCATGTCGGTAAAAAAGAACCATGTGCACATGTTTGCTTAAAAAACCAACAATGGCACTTGTGACCTATTCAAGCAAAAACACGTTTTTTTTGGGTTCCCAGCAAAGGTTGGTGACATCATCAAGGTCTGGTAAATGCATACCGACGCATGTCGGTAAAAATCCACGGTAAACCAACATTCAAAAACAACAAAGACCTATAACAATCGGCTTTGATCGGCTTCGACAGAATAACATTTCAACATGTTCACGTCAATTTAAGCAACGATCTCTTTATTCGCAACGCAAGTACATGTTTTTTTTACATTTCATTAAGAGATTGGCATCTGCTAAAAGCATACCAATGTACGTTGGTTAAGATAACCCACATTTCACCACACCATAGGCAGATACCCGATACAAATCGGCATAAAAAAAATTACATTTATATATGTTAAGTTAAACTTCTCTGTGCATTATTCAATGATAAAAGCACAGTTGCAAGTTATAAAGACAATACAAATATATAATAACATACAGAAAGTAAGAATTAAATGTAATTTTCAACCAATATTCAAAATGTTCAAATACACGTTAATGGTTTTGAATTGGCGTGTTTTTAATATGAATTACAACCCCTTCCTATCTATTTCCAAACATTTACTTACATGATCAAGTAATTATTTTGTGTTATGTACGTTGCTCAATTTTTTATAACGACACATTTTGTAAATTAATGAAAAGCCGACATAAATGTACAGCGGCATATAACACCAATTTGGAAAAAATACCCCAATATAAGGTCAAAATTCATTTTAACCGGCTAGCTGACGGGTAGACGCTACAATGCCTTCCGTGGTTAGGTACTCTGCTAGTCAAAAGCAACACCTAAACAACGGGTACAGGGAGGGGATGATGTGGCGCGGGATGCGCGGGCGTCGGGTGGACACTGCAATAGACGGGTACCCCGACACCCAAGGGAGATGGAAAACGACACATTGGGAGTCGGGGCCGACGCATAACACTAGCGCGCCGGCAGCATGCTGGCGAATAGCCACGCAACTCCAAAATTTTTTGCTGGGAAGTTTGCAAGCTATGCCCAGCAACAGCTGAGCATCAACATTATTTTGAAATTTGTAGGAAGTTGGAATTTATTATCTATCAGGATCATATGTTACTCTCAACTTTACCATATACATGTCACAATTTTCTCATGAGCAGGGTTTTTGTTCTTTAAATCCCATCCCAAACTGATTATAAAGTCTTCAGCATAATGTAGAATGGTGTTTCCCAACTCCTGATCCTCTGAATGGCACCAGCCTGTCAAACTTTTTGTGAGTCCATTGCAAAAAAAATTACCCTGCAAGGGTATACAATGAGTAGGCAGAAATTATGGAAATTGTCTTTGCCATACATTTTTAAAGGAACAGTACCATTGGCAATTCACTCCATTACAAAATTAGAACCATGTTGATTGTCTGCATCATCATACCTTCCCTCTACAGTACAATGCAAATTCTGCAAAGATTTTTACAAATGTCAATCAATAAATGTGGTTAGTTTTCAAGATCCTCTGGCAATCTTTAAAAAATGGCTTCTAAAAATTATGATGTGTATTCAAAACTGGCTTCATTTTCTATGGTTCAGAATACAGTAAATGAAAATTGTTTCAATTGCTATGGATGCCTGTCTTGGAATTTTTCTAAATGGTCTCAAAATAGCTCTGGGGGGAGAAATCAGCCTTTGATGCGGTCAATGTTGCGCAGATCCGCAAGCCTCAACAATGAAATTGCTCAACAATTCCAGTGAATAATACGCACAGAAGAACGAGATTCCATGATTTGAAACAGCCAATCAGGTCCTGGATTTCATTTGATTTGTGTTGAGTTTCTTTTGTTTTCTTTCACTTGCTGTTGATGGTGGCTTTGCTGGTGGTGATATGAGTCAATAAGAGAATAAATGGGATTTAATTAAGCATGGGTAATTTGCATCAACTTCCGAGGGGAAGAGGTAAAATATCATTAGTTGACATAAAAATTACGCTCTTGCAGCCTGTTCACAAGAAGTAAATTTTTCATGACATTTTAAAATTGAGATTGAATATATATACAGTGATAATTTATTTGAAGCGTTAGATAATCCTTCCCTTCATTTTTCCACCTGATGCAGATTAGCAAAACTTGCTGTGGACTCATCACTGATGACACTTGATGCGGATCGTTGGATTGCCCCTTGCTTCACTTCCGGGAATTGTGGAAAAGGACCAGCAGGCACAATTAATAACTGTGTTTGATTGTTCCAATTTTGCAGTCCTTCAATTTTTGAATGTATGAGAATCTGTGATTGCGAGAAACCAAAGCTGGTGATTTTTTATTTGTCTGAATCGTGAGAGTTTTAATGGAGATGTTCTTGTGTTTCCCTTTACAGTACAAGAAATGAATCATGTCATGTGCATGGGAAAAATCTTGGACTTGTCTTGAATTGCAATCTTCAGCAACCATGCAGTGGACTCAAGGACAAAATTCAAAGGATCAGAAATTGTTGTAGAGAACCCCTCTTATTATTGGAAAACAGCCCTTTGGACGAACAATCAAAGGGATAAATCAGCAAAGGGATAAATCAATGGAAAAACTTGAAAAAGCACAGAAACAAATTCAGATTTCGAAAAGGATCATTCATTGAGCTTCCCTTCCTATGATACTTCTTGGTGGTTTCTGGGTGGGTCTTCTGGACACAGTTTGCTGTTGCACCTTCTCTTCGATAGATGTCATGAGGTCACACCTTGTTGCCCATAGGTGCGCGTGAGACTGATCCAATGTTATCGACCACTCGTGTGATTGGAAGTTACCCTGAACGGTGTATCTTGTTACTATTGTACTTGAAAAGTACTGTAGTCACGTGATAGTATTTCATGAATTAGAGTAATGTTCGCAGATGCTGAGTGCACGAGGAAGGTGCGAAAGTTGTAAGAGAATGTGAAGTGAGCAGGATTTTTCCGCAGTGAGTCTGCGTTGAAGTGTGAGTTCTCGTTCAAAATTCCCTGGAGAATTGCGCTAAAATCATTGGAAAGTCATGAATTGTGTTCTACATTTACAGGATGGATATAACTCTTTATTAATCCCGCGCTTTAGCGCCCTTGAATTCTTTAAAAATCTTATCCAGCCGTACAAACTGTTATGAGTTCTTCGAATTGCAATGTTGAGCCCTTACAAAAAAGTTGGAAAGATCCAAGTAAGCATGAGTTACGCAGAGACCACAGTGCGTCTAACGTGGGATGGATGTCGGGAAAGAATAAGTTTGTGAAACGAGAAAGTAGTTTATCCGAGAAGCAAGGGGCATCATGGTTGAGACGGATGAGCGGATTCCTGCAGAAGCGACTTTCAAGCCCAGGTTACAACCATTCCTACGCAAGTCCAAGTTCATCAGTGGCTGTATCTGAAGCGCTCAAAAATATTCCTGAAGGAGACTTCATCCGACGATATATTAACGGGTAACATTTCTGTGTGTGCTATTTTCGAACCAATTTTAGTGACTGATTCCGTGCAGTGAACGGCGCGGAACACAACCCGAAGTTATCTGCAGTCCTCAAGGAACTGGCCTACCATCTGTGGAGATCGGCAAATTGTCAGTCAAAATAATCGCTGCCGATACGGGACCCGGTCCGGGCGTTACTGCCGTAGGATTGAAATCCCGGAATTTATCGACCCATGAGAATGACTTGGAATTCATCGATGGATGTGATTCTGACGATGAAGTCTTTGTTGACGCCCATTCGTCGCGTGAGTAAAGATTCATATTATTCGAACAGATAAGAAGCCACCGATGAAAAGCACATTTTCATTGTTCTTGGATTTAAAGAAAAAGTTTAGCCGAGAAATACAAGGCACATTCGAGCAGAAAGATGATATTCTTCGCACGCTTGAGTCTCATGCTTGATACTCTCAAAAGCTTGAAACTTGTATTACGTTTCTATTCCCTGTGCTTAATCGTCAGTTGTAAGGAGGAAATCCTCTGAGGCAACGTAAGTTTTGTCCTCTCAGCATTTCAAACTGATACACTAATAATAAAAGTAAGGCATTAAAATTTGCTTAGTTCTCTTTCAAATCTTGACTGTAATCTCTTCATCGGTGATGCTTCGACTTAATTACCGTACCTGAAATGCTTGGAGCGTGAATATGCTCTTAGTTCAGCATTTGGAATTGTACTACAGTAAAATCTCGTAATACAGTAATGAATAGATACAGTACTTACAACGAAATTGATTTTTGGTCCTATTCGTTTCGACGAGTTTTGTTTTAAAACGAAGGTTTATTCAAGGTCCCCAGCGCTTCGTTGTGACGAAATTCTGTTTTTTGAAGTAGTATTCGTCAGTGAAACTCCGTTGTGCTTCAATATTCTTCTCATGATCTAGCATGAAATAATTTTGTATTCACGCTGCGATTTCATTATTATTCAAAAGGTTGTGTAGGCCGATTAGCAAAATAATCTTGAGACTCCGTCGAGTGTAAAGCTTTATGTGAAAACTACAGTTGAACCCGGATAACTCGATCCTCCCTAAGTCGAGAATCTCCGTATTTCGGATTTTACTCTCCGAATTCCACTTAGCATCGAAGTGCTGCATTTACAACTTCCATAACTGAAAGATTTTCCCCCCAGGAACCTTCATTACCTGAATTTTCTGCAGGCTTGTTGGATATTATTTTATTGACTCAGGAAAGAGGGCTTAATAAAAATGTAATTGGATACAATCTGAAAAGCAATGGAAGACTGATGGGGCAAATGAGCCCTTGCCTCCAACTTCAGCAGCCTGTCAACTCATTCAATAAGCAAATTAAGGGCCTATAATGTCAACGATCACAATTTCATTTAATTCTGCTTTTTTCCTTGAAAGAAATACTTGTTTCCCTAACTCAAATATTTTTTGGTCGCCTGAAGTTTGACTTGAAGAGGTTGGATTGCATTACGTAAGGAGGGCGTCACTGGTATTGGTAAATCATCTGATTATTCTGTGTGCAGTTGGAAGAAACTGTGAAGAGGTAGTCGTCGAGAAAGAGAAGGTGACGAAGCCTGCCATCCCAATCGCCGGAGTATCGAACTGGGCCCTACCTGCTCCGTTCGCCTGCGGAATATCCGTTACTTTGTACGAATCCAATCCGTACACTGGAGAACATGCTGGTGATCCGATTGCGGATGCGTATGCTGTTGTAGCCCGAGAGAATTCCGCGCTTCTTGCGCTCGGTGATGGAGTCAATTGGGGAGAGAAAGCGTCGCTGGCATCAAAATGTGCAGTTCATGGCTGTATCGATTATTTGAATCGAGCTTTCTATGCATTTGATAATCCGACAGTCACAACGAGTGTAAGTTCCTTCTGTTGAAGCCGATTTTATTTGTCTAGGAACTGGGGGGTTTTTTTTGGCGCAAATCTTGTATGGGGTTTTATTTAAAGGAGTTTTTTTAGTCGAGGGAATGAGTTTATTGTTGTAGTTTAGCGAGCGTATGTGCGCAACTTTAAAACTCCATGAATTGTGAGACTCCTGTTGCATGTATAGCCCATGAAAACTAAATGAGAAGGTTCTGGTGAATGTCCTAACTTTTTCACTTGCTCTCGTGGTTGTGCATGCAATTCGGCTTTGAAGAATAATAAAACCAGTTGTGTTGACGAAAAATCCTGTAAGATTATGATTTGCGACGAGATAATGCAATTGAAGTTTAACCGTTATTGATTTCAAACAAAATCATCCTTAAAAGAAATCCAATTCTGAAACACCGCATGTAAAAAAACTTTTTTTGCTCTTCTGCATTTGCTTTTTGATCGGTTTTTCGAATCTTCCGTAGTGGCAGAACATTTTGTACTGAGTTGGATGGGTATAAAGTTTGAATCACACCATGAATTATTACTAGGAGGTAATTGTTCCTGCAAGGAATTTTTTTCAGGTCCGGAGCTGGAAATATGAGTCATTTGAATTGTTGCACCTTTTGGATCGCTCTCTGAACTGGACTCATTCATGTGAATCTGAAAATCATCTTGATTGTTTTATACAGTATATCTGCTCTCCACAACGAAATTCAGGGGACATGAAAAAAAATGTTTGTAGAAAGAATTACGTTGTACAGAAGCTTTATACTTTATAGTATAGCTGTAATGTACTGAGGAAATCGTTGCAGAAAAAGTCTACCTCTTACTAGTAAAAAAAAGCGCCTGATATTTTATTGTTCCAGTGTATCTCTTTCAAAAACAGCGCAGGACTTGAAAAAACGAAGGATTTGTCTCAGCAGATTACAAATTTCCTGTGATGCAAAAAAATGTTGCTGTGTGATGAATGCTTGATGTTTTTCGTCACAAAAAAAAGCTTTCAAAATATATGATTTTCAATTTTTCCAGGATGTCTTCCGTGGATTACTGCGTTCGTTCTACGCGGCACATGACTTGATCCTTATGGAAGGCGGAATGCTCACGACATTGACCGTGGCGATGGTTCTTCCGACCACCAACTCTGACGAATACGTCGTTTGTTCCTGCAACGTGGGAGATAGTCTCGCTTACGTCTATTCACCTTCGCACGGGGTTCGCGAGCTGACTGAAGGTTCGCACGACGTGAATGCCATGCGAGACATGCGGGATGCTCTGGGTGCATTGGGACCCGTGAATGGAACGACCCCCGAGTTGGGTAACCTGACTTGTGCCATGACGATCGTCAAGAAAGGCGATATTGTTTTCATCACGAGTGACGGGGTCTCGGACAACTTTGATCCCGTGGTTGGAAAGTTCGCCGTGGCCCGGACAGTGTCGAAGAAGGATAAAAATGACCTGGAGAAGCGCAAGAGTACTGTTGGACGTCACGGACATTTGGAGGTTGGTGCTGAATACAGTCAAACCTCTTCAAGTCCAACTCAAAGGGACCCACGGAAAATTGTTGACTCGCGAGGTTCTAATTTTATTGTGGGGGTTGAAAAAAATTGGCAGAGCTATATCGAGGGTTCACTTTTTTTTTTGCGCTCTAGCTCTAGAGGATTGCAAGCTAATCGCGCTAATGCTTTTGTTGAATGACTGTCATTGTTTTACCTTTTTCCATGTAGGGTGACGGAGATTCAACCCTCCCGGTCTTGGACGCGATTAACCGCTACGAATTGACGCTCTTGAGGATGGACGACATTTTGAAGCACGGATTGTCATCTGCTGAGCCGGGGGACAAATTATCGGATGGTTCTCCCAGTGCGCAAATGTTGTGCCGTAATTTTATCGACTTTTCCCGAGGATTGACCTGCGCGAGGCGGCGCATTCTTGAAGACCCGGACTTGTATCCGGCGCCTGTGGAAAACGGCGGCCAAAACGAAGTGTGTCATCAAGAGCAGAGGTTGCGCAGGAGGAAAGTTGGCGAGAAATTGGGACAGGTGTGTATGTGGCGAAATCCTCCCTAGTGACCCAATGTGGCTTCTGGTGATTTTTTTTTTTTGCGTGGGGAAGTGGTTAAATTGTTGGATAACGGGAAATTCGAGAAATCAGTCCTATTCCATCCTATGTACAATATATTTTAAAAGGGGTATGGGCAATTTGAGATGGAAAATTTGAGACCAGGTTGGAAACAGGGACATTCTGAAAAATCTCTTTGCTGAGAACAAAGAGGAAAATTTCTCTGTGTTGCAAAAAAAATAGAAGAAAAAAGAATTGAACTAAACAAGGATCTGCCCTGAAGAATAAAGCTAGTTGGATGAGGAAATAAACATTGGTGTATGATTCTGTAGAGGAAACTTGAGCAGAATTTTCACATTCGGGTTTCAAAGGACCAAAAGGGAGATGGCACACATCTGCATTTTCTTCTGTATCAAATGGTAAAATGAAATTGTTCTCCAAATGTTCAGTATCAAATCGTCCCTATCTCAAATTATCCCTGTCTTAAATTGCAGTATTCCTGTCTCAAATTATCTTAGATCCGTTTTGAAGAGCTAGAAGAAACTAACAAAATGTTCAAAATATTTCCATGTTGATTGATACTTAACAGAGAAACGTAACTGTATAAAAATAATGCTTAGATATAAAAATAAACGTTGCTTTGTTTTCTGAAATAAAATGGAATGAATTTCCTTAGAAGAATATACTGTATCAGCATTCTTAAATATTATTTTACATCTAAAAGACCTTGAAAACAAATTCCTATTGAAGTTCACTCGATTACCAAATTGATCTTCGATTCCAAGGCAATTACTGCATAATGACTACAGCCATTGTCATTTAAAAAATACCTACAATGAAAAGGTTTCACATGTACCTTCAAAATAATTCTCTTTTTCCAGCCTGTTGATTCCAAGTTGAGTTTCATGCGTTTCGAACCGTAGTTGTCCTTTCTATTCGATTGCCAGTATGGATTATGATAATCATTTTTCTTCTTGAACCATTTTTAGGTCCCCGGGAAACTGGATCATGCATCTGTCGTCGCCTACTGCGTTGGTTATAGCCCTCAGGATCAGGATTCCCAGTGAGAAACATCCGCGCTCTGTGTTTTTCTGATGATCGAACTTTGCGTTCTGATCCTTGATCAAGATTTTTTATTGCGTGTGGCTTTCCGTAAAGCTGTGGCAAACAATCCGTATTCGTGCCATTAAAAATTCAAGTTGATTTTAATCGTCATTATTCGTTGGAATGTACCGTAACTCTTATTGCGTCAGAATTTCAGCTTTAGGTTAAGAAATGACTCAGCCCGAGATCTTGGGTCGAAAAGCATGCGTAATATTTTTTCTTTCGTGGACGATATTGTCCCTGTTTTATACTGTATTTGTTTCTGTGTTCGCTTTTGAGCAAAAACCAAGGAATCAACAAGTTTTTTTTTCCTTTCTCTTTGGAATGAGTTGGAGAAATGGCGATTGAGTTAACTGAAGCCAAATTGCAGTCTTTTACGATGTTTCGTATTTTAGCTTGGAGCACTTCTCGGAAGGGCCAATGACGTGGATTTTCGCCGGCAATTCACAAATTTTAGTATGAATAGGCGTTTTTGAACGTCAGCGATTCATCGAGCGATGCCATCGTTAGTGATCGAAAAGAAACGATACAAAAATTCAGAACTTCCATAGAGATTATAGAGGTTGAATTTTTTGTCGGTTCGTTTATATTTTCAAGGAGGCATTTGGTTGATAAATTTTAAAGTTGAGCTGCTGAAGTATTTCTGGTTCAGAAGAGCGCTTTGATCGCAAGCTCGCGACGGAGAAGTTTACTTTCTGCGACATCGTGGATAAATAAGTGTGTGTGCTTTGGCCGTGGGATGGTTTAATTATTCTGGGAAGGAAGAACCGAGATCCTTTGCGGTATTTTACATTTTATTTCATGATGGGTTAGTGGCCATTTTCTGATTACCATCTGAATACGCTGAAGGAACGGCAGTGAGCAACAGCAAACAAAAAACAAACACGTTCCTTTGTTTCCTCATTGGATGGTTCAGTTGTGCTCAGTGAGAGGAGAAATTGCCCGAGTAGGGGAAATCACTGACGTTGTACTTTCCCGTTCTGAAAATGCCATTTTTTTCAGCCGCAAAAATCATTCAGTTCCCTGTGGCCATTTGCGGGATGAAATATCGCTGCTGTTTCAGATTTTCGTCCGTCGACTGACAGTAAAGGCACATTGTTTCAAGTGTTTCCATCCTTGGACTGAATCCTACAACTTTTTCGGGGACTGCTTGAAACTTTCTGGTTTTTTCTTTCTGTACCCTAGTTTGTATCTTGTCTGATTTTATTTTCTGTAGCATGGGTGTCGCCTAAATTTAAGAAGTTTTGTTTGGTCTATTTACTGCAGTTGTCAATCTCAACACATTGTATTTTTTATGTTTTGAGATTTGTTGCTTGATTAGGCTAGGAAAAAAGTGGCACTTGCCTGAGGTAAAAGAAAAACAAAATCCGAAGAAAAATTGGGTGACGTAAGAGAAGCTCCTAATTTTTTCGATAAATTTTTGAACCGTGACTTAACAAAGTTAAATTTTTGAGGGTAACTGCAGTCCCTGAAAGATTGTTGAGTTTTCCTGCGTTTTCATCTAAATATTTTTCGATTGTCGAAGTGTGTATCGGTGATTTGCTTGTTTCCAGGAATGGGGTTTCGGTTAACAGCGAATGATTTGGCGAGCTGTTTTCGTGGGAAATACCTGGTTACCCCGCGTTTATACCCTGTGATTCTTTTCGTCCTCATCTTCGGCGTGGTCCTCACGTTCCTGAATGTCTACGAGCTTCACAAAGTGCGGACTTCCTTGATTCTTCCACAAGCTGAAAAGTCAGGTGAGCAAGATAAATTGTTTTTTTTAAATTCAAATTAATGAAGAATCTTTTTTAATGGACAGAAGAAACTGGATTGATAGCATGGATCGATACGACGAAGTTCTCCGCCGGACATTTGCAACATGTTCAGAACGTTTTCCAGAGAATCGGATTCAAGGTTGTTTCGGAGAAACCAGTGCGATGGGACGTGTTGTGGTCCCATGCTTATCCTTTTCTGGCGAGTTTGAATTTTTTATCTTTTCCGAAGTTATCCTGATTATAGTCTCCGAGTTGAATATTTATTCTGATTTTGCTTTACGAAGAATCCGGGTGCGTTTTGGAATCGATTTTGTTTTTTACTATTTTAAATGCTGGGATAAGAAGTTATCCAACGATGTACAAGTATTGTGATGCTTGATGGTTGATCAACTCATTGAACTATTGAGAAACAGTAACTTTTAAGCTTGATCTAATTATTAAGATGCATTTTGAGTAGATGCTGCCATTTGTAAATTATTACAATCTTTGGTCCGACCCGTACTGAATATTTCATGACGATTCGGGACCAAGTGACAGTACGTCTTAGATTTGCCAACAGCATTTTTTTTAGCTTCAGAGGCTGAGGATCGTGATTGCTTAAATGAAAAAAAAAGTATGAACATAAATAATATTTACAGTTAAACATTGATAAATCAAACTTCTCGAAGTCGAAACCTGCGTATGTAAAATGTATTTCAAGTCCCTGTCGAAATTTCCGTAGAATTAGTGCATTTAAAATCTCTATAGCTCGAACGCTTTCCTCCTAGAACCTCCGTATCTCGATTTTTCTGGAGACATTTGGGCTATCTTTGTTACCCAGGAAAGAGAAAAGAATTAAGCAATTTAACGTGATACTTTTTCAAAAGGAATTAAGTGGCTAATTGGGCAATTGATCCCTTGCCTCCAAGTTCAACATCCTGTCGACTTACGATATTTACAATGTACAGTAGTTTTGGTGAAGAAAAGATTGCTGATTTCAACTTCCTTTAATTCTTGATATTTTTAATGGCAAAAATGTGATTTCCCTAGCTCGAAAGCTCCCTGAGTCAATTTTGTTTCTGGTCCCTTGGAGTTCGACTTTTCAGAGGTTCAACTGTCATAATATTTTAACATTCTCTTCTGTATTTCAGACCCTCGGAGATGAAATGATGTCGACATTCGCCCACCAGAGAGTGAACCACTTCCCAGGCTCGGGGTACTTCACGAACAAAATGAATCTGGCGACGATCACGTCGAAATACATTCCGAAAGCCTTTCAATTGCCGAACGGGAGGGAAGCTGCGTTGAAATATTCCAAGGAGAACCCGGAAAAGATGTTTGTCCTGAAAAGCAACGTGCATCGGGGAATTAGCGTGCAGAAAATTGGCGATATCGATCTCGCAGCTTCCGGGAAGTTTGTCCAGGAATTCGTCTCCAATCCTCTCCTGATTGACGGGCACAAGTTTGACATCGGCGTCTATGTGGCTATCACTTCCGTGAATCCCTTGCGGGTTTACATTTACGAAGGAGAAGTTTTATTCAGGTGCCGTGATTATTTCTGGTCTTGTCTTCGCGATTTGAAAACGAAAAAAAAAGGAAAATCAACTGTGGGAAGAGGAACTTTTGCCTACCGTGGTCTTGGATCATGTTCCCCTTGAACCAGGAATGCTGAGAATATTGTACTACGATATTTCAAACGACTGTAGACGAAAGGAAAAATAATATTGCGGAATGATGAATTATTCAAAAAGAAGCCTTTATGTTAAAAGAAAATATGCTTTTTATTTGAGAAGTTCATCGCCATTCATCTTCCATGCGCAAATGGTCGAAATTTTAAAAATTATGCACAAGCCCAGATTTGTTTCCAAAGTTACCTAGAAAGTGCGAGATTTGACGAAAGCTGAATTTTGCTAAGAGCATTGAGTCAGTCACATAAAAAGTCGATTTTCTATTCAATGTAAAGCTCGTCGCTTATTAATTTTGCGAAATTTCCGATTCAGACGACACCTACCTGATAATTTATTCGAGAGTCAGATTTTTGTCTTACCTTTGATTAAACTAAAAGAGAAAATTGAATTGTCTCGTCTTTTAGGTTTTGTCCAGCGGAGTACTATCCGTTCGATCCGGTCAACTTGGACAAGTACGTTGTTGGAGACGATTACCTGCCGTTGTGGAAAGTACCTTCACTGAGTCCGTTCTACAACAAGTTGGGCCTCGGAATGAAAGACAGTTTCAATGCATATCTCCGAGCGAATGGCCGCAACGATTCCACATGGCTCCGTGATGTTAAAGCTGCCATTCAAGATATTCTTTTAAGCGTTGAATCCATGATGATGAATCTGATTACCAAGTATCCGCATAAGGAGGTCTTCTTCGAGATGACGCGCTTCGATTTCGTGCTTGATGAAAACTTGAAGCCGTTTCTTATGGAAGCCAACATGTCGCCGAACCTGAGCTCCAAGCATTTCCCGCCGAATCGATTTTTGTATGAAGAAGTTTTGTATAACTTGATGTCACTTGTTGGACTTGCCAGGCATATCTCGTCGGACACGTTACTGTATAGATCTGATGACGAAGAAGTGATGGAAGTGAAAGACAAGGTACGGTGAAACTTTTTTTTTTTATAATTCTTCGATGATTGTGATGGTTTGAATTGAAATGGGATGCAGTCGATTTGAGACGGAAAATTCAAGACACAGTCTCAAATTGTGCGTTGCTCAAAACTTTTTTGTCTCAAATTTTCTGTCTCTAATTGCCCTAGCCCAATTGAATTGTCGTAGATTCAATTGAAGTACCGTATTTACTTGAATACCACGTGCACCTTTTTTCCCAAATTTCAGAAGAAAAAAAGGGGTGCACGTCATAAGCAGGTACACAATTTTCAAGAAGTTTAAGGAAGTTATGTGTGCATTATTTGTAATAATAATGGAGAAATTTGGAACAAATGTAACAGGAAAACATTTTTGTATTGAAAAAGTTGAAAATTGATCCAATTTTTGTTCAATTCACGCCTAAAGTCAAATTTTTTGTTTTTATTTTCGAAATTTTATGGTTTTAGATTCACTAAAAATTTGGGTGCGCGTCTTACTCAGAGATAAGATTTTTGCAAAATTTTCAACTGAAACCCCTGTGCGTGCCTTACTCAAGGGTGTGTGGTACTCAAGTAAATACGGTAGTGTTGAATTGACCGCATGTTTGTTAAATTATCAGCAGTAGAATTTGTCCATGATGTAAAACTGCAATCTTCTACAGACTTCTTCCCAGAGTCAAACCTTTCCCAAAGTTATTTTTTACCTCATGATAAGTGCAGCAGTGATTTTCTGCCAAGATATGCATTATTGAGAGATCAGAAGCATTTTAGCATAAAACCGTTTTGTGCGCGTGTGAATGAAATCTGTAAGGCTCAACTTAATTTCAAATCTTGTGATTGAACTAATTCGTTTTGATCAATGATTTCTACATTTATTAATTTTGCTGCTGCTTCGACGAGAAGGAAAAATAAACTCGTATGAGTTTGAACGTTTCTTCGCCAATTTCAGGACATATCAGTGTTCCAAGAGCTGTGTGCATCGAAAAAGTGTGCGGAAGATTGCAGTGTCAAAGAATGCAAATCCTTCTGTGTGCATTGTTATTCCCAAGGGGAAAAGGCCGAATTGAAGCGAGCTTACAAGGAGCATTTGAACAGGATGCGATACAGACGTGTTTTGCCTTTCCCAATGTATCCGTCGAACGCCAAGGAGGAATTCGAAGAGAAACGCGGGTTGTTTGATAGTAACGTATGGATGCTACGATGGTTCCGCGGAATGTGTTTGAAGGATATTTCTTTTTGTCAATAGATGTTTAGGAGAAGTTATATTTTTTATGGGAAGTTTGACCTCATGTTCAGGGCTCTGGTGCGCAGGGATTTTTTTTTTTCGTGCTGAAGAATTATAAATGTAATTGACTTTTCCTTTCATTCTCGCGAAAGTCACTTGGATGTCTTTTAATTGACCCAAGAATTCGCACCTTGATTCTCGAACTCTCGTGTAACCTGACCAAAATGTTTTCTAATTTTGCGTTCGTGATGTTGTATCATTCGAATGTATTCGCATGTTTTGATGAGAAACTATTCCATCCATGTTTTGGACCTTGCTCAGCAGAATCGGCCCAACGAATCTTGTCGCGTGAAAGGCAATCATTCCTTACAGTAATTAGGTGGAAATGTCTGATTTCTGCGCGCAGTCGAAACTTTTTCTACTTCTCCACGCAGAATTCGAGGCAAAATTGCTGCTCACTTGATTAAATTATTCCGAAGTATAGTCTATATCGTTTTTTAAATTTTCCATAGCCTGGTTAGATGGAGGAATTAATCTGTGTGATCGAGGAAAATCATCAGCCACCACGACATCACAACTTCCATGCATGCTACATTTAGTGTTCTTCATCTTTTGCAATATTTCGTGCAAATACTGTGTGCAAGTGAGGGTTCAACATCGAAATTGACCCACGCTTCCTATAACGATGCCCCTGAATCATCACTGGTTTTCCGGGAGGTTTTGAAGTTTCAGAAATTTCAATTTAAATTTCGAGTCAAAAATTCAAATATCCGCAGTTGCGTTATGCTTGAATTTTTCAAGAAAGAAAGCTTAAAAATTGAAAACGGCAGGGAATGTTCTCTGGCAATGAATGCATAACAAACCTATAATCACATTTTTAAACTGTTCATTTCTTTTTTTAAGTTGAGCGCGGAAATCTGACATTTCCTCGTATCAGACATGCTTGCCACGATATGCTTTAAATGAGTGATCAAAACAAATCTTGACGGATTAGTTTTTAGTGCCTGAATACAGAAGGAGCTTCGGTAGAAGCAGTGTATTTTTCTATACCTCTGATGCATGAAAAACCTTTGTCCGGTCGTGTCTCCGTGTGTCCTTGCGAGTTTTTTGTTACGCGTTTTCATGTTTTGTAGTGTTTTTTTGGCAGGGTTTGCTATACCACGTGGGATTCCCACAAATCGCTGTGACAGAACCGAATTTCGTCCATTTCCGTCGCGAACAACATGTCATTCTTGCCGAGGCACAGATTGATAGAAATACCTTTTCCATTGCAGGTTTTTTATTTTTGTTTTCTAGTTTTTCGGTGCTACTTGTTACAAATGATGCTCAAATGATGATGAATGGGAAACATTGAACGGCCAGAAAGTGAGATTTAAAAATGCTTGACGCTGTTGCAAACGCCATATGGCATGTGTTCAACTTCTTGGACGACAAAAGCACCGGGCTTGTCGTCAAAAGTCGTTTAAAAGTAAGTCTTTCCATTTTTTTTTCGAGGCACGAAAATTTTTAATCTTTCATGACTATTTTGCGAATGTAGTCAGTTTTCTGAAGCAGTCGAAGTATTTCAAATTTAGAAGAGACTTTTTTCTCATTGGAAAGTCTGTCCTGCAAAAAGTCTATGAACTGAATACAGTACAGTAGTTATGGAAGTACCTTTACTGATCACGGAAGGAATGCTCAAGGTTTTCAGTGTAGGGGATGCTAGCATTTTAATGTCCTTGATTTTGTTGAACATAATTTTCCGTGTTCTAAAGGTTTTTTACTGTTATTTTTCTTTTTAGAGAGGGATGCAAATTTATGGACCCTGTACGTGGTGTCTCATTATGCCTTCGAAGACATACAATTTGAAACGCCGTGACAGTTTTTTTTTCGAAATCATTAAATTAGATTGGGAACATTCCAAGACATTATCAATACATTGATAACGCGTAGGATTAAGTAAAGCAAGTTTGACATGATCTAGATATTCTAGATCTAGAATATCAAACAAGCGTTTATAAACTTTCCGAGAAAGATCGGGTCTCCCGTAGTTTGATATCTAACGAAGGATGTGCTTCGAAGAGCTACTTGATACAAATGATGATTTGTCACAAAACTTGGAATTTATTTGTTTTCTAATAATTACAGGTTCTTACCGCAAATCTCGGCACAATCCTGAACAGCTACAATGTTGAACGGGGTCTGGACGACTTCAGGAGTACACCACACTTGAGTTTCGAACACTTTAAATACTATCTCTCGATGGAGCTTTTCTCTTCCTTGCCGAGCACGCTTGACTTGGGGACCCGGATGGAGTACCAGCACCAGATCGAGGAACTGTGTTGGCTGATTTCTAAACAAAGTTTGCTGAAACGAGACAGACCCGTATTTTCCCAACAATCCGTGTTTCAAATGTTTCGCATCTTTTGCTGCTTATCCGAGGAAATTTCGGACCAGCGGGTTGGAATCACTGTGAGTTTGCCTTCGACTTTTTTCTTGGAAAGAAATTCCAATAATGCGATCGAATCCATTGCATCGTTCAAGATTAAGTTCGGGTCTTTGTGTCGTGAAATTTAAATTTATCTGTGTCATTTTCGATTTTTCGTGCTTCATTTTTAATCAATTGTTCAGCTGAAGAAATATATTTTGCAGATGTCGATTGGGTTTAATGGTATCGGTATGGTTGTTATTGTAATTTTTTCTTTGTGTTAAGTTCGCAATGCATGTGGATGAGCTGAAGCGGATTAGCGAGGCATTCGTGAACAGTGTTGGAAGGAAATTTGACGTCGAAGAATTCGGAAGGGTTACGCAGAACACGGAATTCTTCACATTTCCTTTGATGCTGGAGTTCATAGAACGACGCTATGGTGCGAATGTGGAAGAAGGCGGAGCGAAAGAAGCAGTACAGGAGTTGTATGACACGTATGCTTTAGACGTCTTGCGAAAGGTAATTCTGAAATTATAGTTCAAATGCTTTTGAATTTTCACGCGAAACCCGCCTGGCGAATCCGAGTTATTCCAGGAATACATTTCGTGGGTTAAACAAAGAAATACAGCTTTTAAAAGCGAAAGCATGACCTGAACAGTCTAAATTATCACCTTGAAAATGGATGCGTTAAATCAAAGGTTAATCAGCTATATTTTGAATAATTTTCAATGTAAGTATTGCATGTGAGAACCTAGGACCTTTTTCGTGTGTGATTCTTTTTTTCAAGTTCATGGTTATGCAATTTTATTGATGCTATTCGAGTTATAAAATATTCTTATTTATTCGAAACAGAATGGAATAAACTAGTGAGCAAAATTTTCAACTAGCATTCCAATGCACCGAATTTGCCGTCATTTTAATTCACTTCATCGTGCGTTTCTCCCAAGATTTGAATTACTGGTATAAACTTCGTTACAACGAAGCGTTTTGGAGCTTGAAAGCATCTTCGTTTTACAGATATATTTGTTGAAATGGAATCGAAATACTGTAACACTGTGGCTTCTGGCTTTTGCACAAGGACTGAAAAAACAAATTAGTTAGCATTATTTCATTATAAGATTCGATGTGGCGAGTTTCTACTGTAGTACTGTAAAAACATGCGAATCGATTGCAATGTAACTTTTTTTTCTACACCACGTAGAAAACACGAGCATCGTTAGTTTACGAGATCATTTTGAAGGATACTTTGATTTCCTATGCATTGCTTTTCGTAAGTGGTTCCACAAGAAACAGAAAGTTACCTGACCTTATTCCTACTTTTTTTTTTAAATCAACACAGGGTCACTTGTCCAAAAAAGGCGAGCTTTTCCCCACGTTCCGAGAATATTGGTTCGTTCTCAAACCATTCTGCCTCACGTATTTCTCCAACTCGGACGAGAAGGATTATTATAGTTCAAATGCTTTTGAATTTTCACGCGAAACCCGCCTGGCGAATCCGAGTTATTCCAGGAATACATTTCGTGGGTTAAACAAAGAAATACAGCTTTTAAAAGCGAAAGCATGACCTGAACATTCTAAATTATCACCTTGAAAATGGATGCGTTAAATCAAAGGTTAATCAACTGTATTTTGAGTAATTTTTAATGTAAGTATTTCATGTGAGAACCTGGGACTTTTTTTTAGGTGTGATTATTTTTTAAGTTCATGGTTGTAAAATTTTATTGCTGCTATTCGAGTTATAGAATATTCTTATTTACTCGAAACAGAATGGAATAAACTAGGGAGCAAAATTTTCAACTAGTATTCCAATGCACCGAATTTGCCGTCATTTTAATTTTACTTCATCGTGCGTTTCTCCCAAGATTTGAATTACTGGTGTAAACCTCGTTACAACGAAGCGTTTCGGAGCTTGAAAGCATCTTCGTTACAAAGAAATATTTGTTGAAATGAAATCGAAATACTGTAACACTGTGGCTTCTGGCTTTTGCAGAAGGACCGAAAAAACAAATTAGTTAGCATTAGTTCATTATACGATTCGATGTGGTGAGTTTCTACCGTAGTACTGTAAAAACATGCGAATCGATTGCAATGTAACTTTTTCTTCTACACCACGTAGAAAACACGAGCATCGTTAGTTTCCGAGATCATTTTGAAGGATACTTTGATTTCCTATGCATTGATTTTCGTGAATGTTCCACAAGAAAAATAAAGTTACCTGACCTTATTCCTACTTTTTTTTTTTAAATCAACACAGGGTCACTTGTCCAAAAAAGGCGAGCTTTTCCCCACGTTCCGAGAATATTGGTTCGTTCTCAAACCATTCTGCCTCACGTATTTCTCCAACTCGGACGAGAAGGATAAAAAGGGAGAGATCGCTTTGAATGCTACTTTGCGAGTCGAGACCCCGTCTGGACCCGCAGTCGGGGACCACGGAGGAAACATAGGTTCTACTTCCTCTTTGACCATGTCCGCGGGTTCCCTGGGTTCCATGGACAAAGTTGGGACTAGTTCAGAAAAGCTAGACAACAAACCGGCTCCCCAAAGCAGCAGCACGAAACAGTCGCACAAGTTTTCTATCAAGTCTCCGGAGCGCAATTGTGACTTCATTGCATCTGATCATCGGTGAGGAATAGCTAACATGTGTCTAGTTTTTTAGTTGACTAATTAAATATCCGAATTCGGAATGTATCGAAAGGACGTGAGAGTTATTTTTGTTGTTTATTCTTGGACCAATTGAAAAACCTTCTGTTATCAATACTAAATGCACGCCATGGCTAATGTGACGAAACTTGATCTCTCAAAATTTTTTAAAACTACATTTTCATCGGTATTCGTAAATTGCATGAAGCCCACAAAGAGTACAGTTGCTCCACCTCGCTGTTGATGGAAAAATTTTCATTTTGAAAATTTTTAAAGTTATTTCCCAAAGATAATCTTCATTGGAAAGCGTGAGATAAGAGCAATTATTTTTGGTTCTCCGAAAGAAAATGACAGTTCAGAAAGATGCTTTTGCATTTTCCGTGGAATTTTCGGGCAGTCGGAGAATTTTTGTCACCATCCTCGTATTTGTCGACTCTTTCTTGATGCAATTTTTTGACGCATGACGTATTTTAAAATTTTTTTACCAGTTCGAAGCTGCAGTGGATTGCTGCGTTGAAATTGGCGTTCGACAGCTGCGATTTACTTCAATCCTATCAGCGCTCACTTGCTAATCGTCGACGGCGAGATCGTGAAGTTTCGAAACGGAAGGAGTGCGAAGAGCGTCAGCGTCGTGCTTCTCAAATTGACATCATGGAAAAAACGAAAGCACAATTATTTGCGGAAAAACTGGTGCGTTTAGCGCTGAATCGTAATATTAGATCCCTGAAGAGTTGAAAGAAAGAAAATTAAAAATGTTTTACGTTTCTTCATACCTGCGACCTCCAAAATCAGGAATTTGAACGTAACTCCCTTCCGGAGAATTGGCATGAATGTTTTTTTTTTCTTCATTTCATGGGCTGATTTCAATAATTTTTGAGTTCAGCTGACGGCGATGAATCGATAGGATTACACAATCCATTTTTCTGCGCCGATTTTTGAGCGGAAGTTGATCAGTTTACCTTGTAATTTTTTCGAAGGATTGATTTCGGTATTCAAACTTCTATGAATGCTTTGGCATCACAGCCGGAGAGGCTTAAACATTTTTTATAAGTTCTCTGTTGTATGGTGATCAGATTTAGCTGTAAAAAGTGTGAATGAAAAGAAAGTCACGGTGGGAGTCATTGCGGGATGAAACAGGGAAAGCAAAGTGATTCGAGATCGGCTACCCTTTTTTCTCGTAGTTTTCGGTGTAGGCGAAATCTTCTACGCTGTATTTCGTTCATCGAACTGAAATGAATCTTTCGTTGAATCTGACTGCTGGAAGATTCTAAAGTAGCCTAAGGTCGCCTATTTCTCCGATGTATGTATGAATAGATACCCAACATTCGATCGATCTTCCTTTTGTCGAAAAGGCCAGGGAAGCTGCGGAAGCGGAAGCAAAGTCTCTGGCAAAAGAACGAGAGCTGGACGAGAAGCGTCTTCGGGCTTTGGAAGGCATCAAAGAACAGCTTGAGAAAACGTTGGAAGAAGAAACACAGGCGAGACGGGACGAAGAGATCGTGAGGAATTTGCAAGCTCGTGTTTTGCGTGAAGAGTGGGAGAAGCGTGATCAGTTGGAACTGTTGCACGAGGAGCAAAAGCGTTTGCTGGAGGAGGAAAAGGAGAAGCGACGCCAGTTTGAAATGGTGCAGCGGGAAAAGGAGTCCAAATTAGCCGGTGGGTATTTTTTTCAGGGATCAGAAAGTTTTTGCGGATGTGCGAAGATTTCTTTTTAATTTTACAGATTTTCCTTCGAAGCTAAATTTTGCGTTTCTATGATTCTATCGCGAAAACAACCAAAAAATTGGAAATATCTTTAAGCAATTCCATAGTAACTACCTGTGATATATACCGCGTGATGATCATTTTGAATGTATTCGTCCAATTTAGCGATTGAAAAGCGTCTGAAAGAGCTTGAAGAAGATCGAAGGAAGCTTGACAAAGAGCTTCGGGTAGCCCGGATTAAGGTTTCCTCTTCTGAACAAAACAAAGAAATCCTGGAAGCTCGTCTTCGAGTGAGTGTCACGTTTCCATCATTGCCATGCAAGAGATTGCGCTAAAAATTCAGCGCTGGATGTGCCATTTTATTAGAAAATGCATAAAAATGTCTTTCTGGGCACGAGATACATTTTTTCAGAAGGAGGAATCAATTTCGAAGGCAAAATTTCCACGACTAATTTTCTACGTTTTGGTCTTCAATTTTTTAGAATGAAATTTTTTTCAGCTATGAAATAACTTTTTATGTACTGGTATTCGTCAGGTCCTGTTTTTAGAAAATTTTTATTTTAATTATCTTTTTAAAGGTGAAATAAAACGAAAAACTTTATTAATCTTTGAAAAATTGTCTTGGAGTTTGAGATTGATGTTACTGTCAAATATTGTGCATGTACCGTATTTAATCAAAATTACGCTTAGGTAAAAAAGTCATTATCATTCCAACAATTTTTTTTTACATACTGTAATTAGAGTGCATTTAATTGGAGTGTATTTATTTGAGTACCGCAAGCCCTCGAGTAAGACTCTTATCCGGATTTTTTCAGCCTGAAATTTTGATAAAATCTTATCCCTAAGTAAGGCGAATACCCCATTTTTAGTGACTGAAAAATTGCAGTATTTCAAAGAAAAAACGCACCAAAATTTGAATTTAAAAAATGAATTGAACTTGAATTCAATTAGTTTTCAATTTTTTCATAAAAAATTATTGTTCGCTTTAAAAAACTTAGTACAGTAATTATTTTTTGCGAAATTTCCCATTAGAATCATGTTCGACGCGCACCGAAATGTTGGAAAATGTTATGGTCACCTGCGACGCGCATTCATTTTTTCATCCCAATTCGAAAAAAAGGTGCGCGTGGTACTCGAGTAAATGTGGTAACCCTCAAATTTCTTCATCACTGAAAAATGCCTTGCTCTAGAGTACTTTATTGNTGAAGCCCACAAAGAGTACAGTTGCTCCACCTCGCTGTTGATGGAAAAATTTTCATTTTGAAAATTTTTAAAGTTATTTCCCAAAGATAATCTTCATTGGAAAGCGTGAGATAAGAGCAATTATTTTTTGGTTCTCCGAAAGAAAATGACAGTTCAGAAAAATGCTTCTGCATTTGTTGTGGAATTTTCGGGCAGTCGGAGAGTTTTTGTCACCATCCTCGCATTTGTCGACTCTTTCTTGATGCAATTTTTTGACGCATGACGTATTTTAAAATTTTTTTGCCAGTTCGAAGCTGCAGTGGATTGCTGCGTTGAAATTGGCGTTCGACAGCTGCGATTTACTTCAATCCTATCAGCGCTCACTTGCTAATCGTCGACGGCGAGATCGTGAAGTTTCGAAACGAAAGGAGTGCGAAGAGCGTCAGCGTCGTGCTTCTCAAATTGACATCATGGAAAAAACGAAAGCACAATTATTTGCGGAAAAACTGGTGCGTTTAGCGCTGAATCGTATTATTAGACCCCTGAAGAGTTGAAAGAAAGAAAATTAAAAATGTTTTACGTTTCTTCATACCTGCGACCTCCAAAATCAGGAATTTGAACGAAACTCCCTTCCGGAGAATTGGCATGAATGTTTTTTTTTTTCATTTCATGGGCTGATTTCAATAATTTTTGAGTTCAGCTGATGGCGATGAATCGATAGGATTACACGATCTATTTTTCTGCGCCGATTTATGAGCGGAAGTTAATCAGTTTACCTTGTAATTTGTTCGAAGTATTGATGTTGGTATTCAAACTTCTATGAATGCTTTGGCATCACAGCCAGAGATGCTTATACAATACATTTTTTATGAGTTCTCTGTTGTATTGTGATCAGATTTAGCTGTAAAAAGTGTGAATGAAAAGAACGTCACGGTGGGAGTCATTGCGGGATGAAACAGGGAAAGCAAAGTGATTCGAGATCGGCTACCCTTTTTTCTCGTAGTTTTCGGTGTAGGCGAAATCTTCTACACTGTATTCTGTTCATCGAACTAAAATGAATCTTTCGTTGAATCTGAGTGTTGGAAGATTCTAAAGTAGCCTAAGGTCGCCTATTTCTCCGATGTATGTATGAATAGATACCCAACATTCGATCGATCTTCCTTTTGTCGAAAAGGCCAGGGAAGCTGCGGAAGCGGAGGCAAAGTCTCTGGCAAAAGAACGAGAGCTGGACGAGAAGCGTCTTCGGGCTTTGGAAGGCATCAAAGAACAGCTTGAGAAAACGTTGGAAGAAGAAACACAGGCGAGACGGGACGAAGAGATCGTGA